ATTAGCATTAATGATGTCAAGCAGATCACAAATCGCGTTTAGAATAATTTCGGTTTCGAAGGAAACTGTGGTGAAATTTCATCGCCTTGAACTGTGTAAATTGCGCTATTGGTATAAGTACAAAACTTGGGCACTGTGGTAGAATATAACTCTATTATGGATAAAATTTTGTCTTGATAAAATCACACAGTGTTATACAGTAATATTTACTGATGACCACGTTTTGAGCACAAATTATTGCTCATAATCGTATCAAGTCACTCACACAACTTTTTACTTCATTTATATACATGAGTAAAAATTGACAGGACATTTGAATAAAATCAGTATAAGATAAAGTACATTCGGAAATAATATTAGTGTTATCAATCAAATACAATAAGATGGGAAATAAGATGTTTTTATAGTAAAATAAATAACTTGCTTGTTAGAATGTTAGAATGTGAATTGAAATACATTTTAACATTATTAATTATCCTCTGATTTCACTGGTGGTAATAATTTCTTCCATATCTCTGGTATTTGCGTTGAGTCACTTCTGTTGTATGTGTTACAGGATTTCATGTGTTGGGTGTAGACTCGATGAACCAGAACTCAGTAATCGATCGCTCTCTCTCTCTCCGTCCACCTATATCACTCTTTAGAATTTTGACTCTGTCCCACACTACTGTGTGGTTGTGTGTTAATGCATACAGTGCCATTGCTGATTTTTATTCTAAATCACTTATCTTAGCGGGATCTATCATTTTAACCTTAAATAAATTCTTATGTTCTGATAATCTCACTACTCCTTCCTGATCTACTAGTTTGACCTATGTAGTTGACTTAACTCACAGTCATTGCAAGGTATTTTGTAAATTATATTATTTTGTTTAATTGGATACACCGGGTCCTTTAGCCAACAGGGTTTTTCTCTGAGTGACTTTTTAGGTTTGAATGCCACGTTAATTCCTGCTCTGTTAAGAATCTTACGTAGGGTCTCAGATGTCTCCTCCTTATATGGTAGAACTGAAGATGACTTATATGCTTTGTTATTTATTTTATTATTATTAGTTTTACTACTACTTTTACTTTGCTTTTGGCCTTTTCTGATATTCTTAACGAATTTTATAGGTTGTTTATTTAACACTAACCCCTCTTCTATCTGTTTCATTTCATCATGTATATAAATGAAGCAAGAAAGTTGTATGAGTGCCTTGGTATGATTATGAGCAATAATTTGTGCTCAGAACGTGGTCATCAGTAAATATTACTGTATAACACTGAGCGATTTTATCAAAATAAAATTCTATCCATAATGTGTAAATTGCAAATTAATTCAGAAATTGTGAGTTTTACTTATGGTCTTGAAAGAAACAACCACCTTTACCTACCTGGGAAGCATCGTTTCAACTACAGGCGGAACTGACGAGGATATCAAAGCAAGAATCGGGAAAGCAAGACAAGCTTTCACTACTCTCAAGCCTGCGTGGAGGTCAACAGCACTCAGCATCAAAAATAAGATCCGGATTTTCAACTTCAATGTGAAGTCAGTGCTACTTACTATACGGATCAGAGACTTGGCGCGTCATAAAGAGCATCTCAAACAAACTACAGACCTTCATCAACAGGTATCTTTGCTCAATACTCAAGATCAGATGGCCAGAAAAGATCAGTAAAGAGGAATCGCTGGGAGCAAACCAACCAGGTATCGATTGTGAAACAAATAGGCAGGAAGAAATGGAGACGGATTGGCCATACTCTGAGCAAACCATTAAGTGACATCACTAGACAAGCCAGTTCTCGAGTGAAATCCGAAGGGGAAGCAGCGAGTTGGTCGTCAGTGCAAGGGTGACTTGGAGGAGGTCATGTGAAGAGGAGATGAAAACGTGTGGGCAGACTTGAAGCCAGGTGAAGACTCTAGCAGAGAACCGAACGCAATGGAGACGCGTGACTGAAGCCCTATGTTCCTCTAGGAATTGAAGGAAACAATAATATAATAATAATAACTTATGGTCTTACCAGCTCGCCCACGTAGCTGACCAGACATCAGATGGTTTGAACTGATTCAGCTTTCTCAACTGAATCAAATCAGGTACACCACTGATGTGCTCGGCTTCAAACAACCGAGATGACTATCCAAGGTTTAGGTCACTTTGATCCGGCTAGAAAGTACTGCTGGTTAATGTGATTACTGTACTACTACTCATCCCAATCAACCAGTAGTATATAAATTCATAATCCACATGAATTTTGCTGGAGCCTAGCGGTGGAATCCGAAACGTATGTCTCCTTTTATTTGAGACTCGTCAGCTGGAGGTATACCTGCATTTCTAGTGAATGACAGTACTTTCAGTCGAGCTCGAACCCAGTGCTCATCCTTCCAAACGCCATGTAACACCAGCATCTTACACGCCACAGTGAACTGGATTAAGAATGTGTGTCATGATGTACTAAACTGGTTATCATTAAGCCATTATATGTCAATGTAATAGCCTTTGTATGATAGCCGGAAATTGCCCTGCGTGACTTATAGATAAGAATTAGATTTGATTAGATTTTGTTGTACAATGAAATAATCATTACTCCCAAATCAAAATTAATGTGGTGATATTGTCACTATATTTTGCTTCCTTACATTACGCTCACTGGTCGGTTTATTGGTAAACTATTTCTTTTCAAAATCTATTTTCTTATTGATTTTGAATTAAATTGGTCTATAAGATGGTAAAGATCATTTCTGCGCCTCGAATAAAGGCAATATTAATTCATGATGAGAATGAATTAATCAAAAGGTATGAAAATCGTCATATTATCTGCAGTAGAAAACATTTTACGTGATTGAAACAACTTGCACATGTCTATTCAATGTTCAAATGACAAATATTCAATATAAACGGAAGTATCTTTGATGGGAAACGGCCAGTCAAACAAATAAAGAAAGTCGTGATCAGCTGCGTCCATCAAGTTGGGTGAGAGGATAAATACTCACCGATGATATAGGCTGTCAGTCAGGCTAGGTTGTGAATTGTGAATTGTGTTGTGATTTCTGGCGTAGTGACTCAGTGGTCTACCGTTTGCCTTGAAACCTGAAGGTCATAGGTTTGACCCCTGACTTTGGGATCATGGGTGCGTGCTGATGAAGGTTCCCAATCTAGGACGAAACAACTGTTTATTGCTCCCTGGTTTATAATGGTTCTCTACTTGAAGTCAATTAATGATCAGAACTAAAGACAAAAAGAAACTTTTTTTGACTGAGGTAGTCAGTACGAACTATGATGCATTGTGTGTGATAAGCACAACCAACAGGATTAAAATAAACCCGTATACTTCAGAAGAAGGCAGCCTTAATTTCTAATGTCGAACAAAAGATGATTAGAAGCCATAATAAAGCGATCTCAGCTAACTTTATTCAAATGGGATAAAAAGTTGACCTAGAAGCTAAGAGTAGTGATTTTATGCTGCAGTCGTTTACCATTCATCATCAGTGTAATTTAAGATTTTGCCTCCAAAGCCTCAGGATGGTCGGGGGTGGGTGCTTTGCGCTGCGGGTTGGCCACCCCTCCGCACACCTCTTGAAATGCTCCCATATGACCGGGCGTCTTACATAGCCTCTCCTGAGGAAGTCCTACTGACTGCCTTCACGTGGCGGAGGTGTTTTTCACCTAAGTGAGAGGGCGAAAGCGGATGCCCGGCGCTCTTCACCGGGTTGACTGTCCATTGGATGACAGTCTAGGGGAGATGGCTAAACCCTGATTCCAAACCTCCAACGACTGGCGTATGAAGCTCACCGGCAGACGTATGGACAAAGGGCTTGTTGGATGTCCTGAATGTCTGGCCCCATTCAAAAAGGCGTATGAACCGAACTCCGGTCACCGGCTGCCAATGGATAGTGGACTCCCTACTCCACTCCTACTGCCTTGTAGGTCACACTTGGTTGTGTAAAGGCTAGAGCTGCACTCTCAAACAAAAGGCCGAGCGATTCTGGGGACATCACTCGTACCAAATTCCCATGAAACTTCATGAACTCTCTTACCTTGTCGCAAAACCTTGCAACAGATCGCCGCGCCTGGGCAGCGATGATTCGAGATGTTCATGAAGCCGGCTCATCCTTCCGTAGGAGATAGCCGAAGTAAAGTAAAGTAAGTAAAGTAAGATTTAGTAAATATAGCGAAATAAACGATGCTGGCATCTTTTTCTGTACAGACTGTTATTTTGTATGGGAATGCCTTTTTTGGAAAATCCTTCCTGGCTGAACGGTATAATCACAATATTTGATACTTATTTGAATATCCTAACCTCCCTACTCGTGTAATAAAGGTTTTGTTGTATTTACCAATGAAGGAAAAACAAAACGATATTGTTTTTACTGACGTTTCGCTATTTAATGCTAATAGCTTTACCAAAGTAACAATAAACCGGAATTTACAAAATCTCAGCATATATATAACAAAGAGTTAAGAGGTGAGAAAATAGACTTAAGTCAAGTTAAAAGGACATATCGAATGTCAAAATAACAATGAAGATCACTAAACCAAATAACAAAGGTAATAGTACATCTGTTTTGATATCAAAACCAAGTTTACTAACTTGATCATCGTTCGTCAGTCTGGGGTCATTTTTGGTTGTCAAGTTGGTCAACTGGTAAAGATAACAATACCAAGTGTAGATTGTTGGATTAGATCAGTGTGTAAAATTATAAATTATTATAATATCCTTCTTCAAGTTGTCTGCAGCCTTACTGATTAAATTTTTTTTTAAAAAAAAACAACATTTGACTTGCTTTTAGAGATCACGTGTTGTAAGCTGATTGTTTTTCAAGTAATTCACCGACTAATTTGATGACTCTCTAAAATTAATGGATCGGAATGTCACTGAGAACTGTGTCACACAAACAAAGCCAAGCACACCTACAAGGATAATGATTACTATAATATTTGAAAAGTATTCATTAAAAGTTTTGGTATATTTTGATAGGATTTTTCCATATTTTCATTTATTTCTACTTTTGTTTTCCTTAGTGAGAGAAGAGTCTCACCAGAAGGAGCATCATATATGAGTTCAAATGTTGACTCAACTACTGTAAGTATTCCCAACAATAGCTGATGTGCTAATTTATATTATAAGTGGTGTTATTTTCGACAGATTTAAAAGTATTATTAATGAGTGAACCTGAGTCACATTATTCAACCTAGTTTTTACCATTCCACTGTGCATTTCAAGTGAACACAGAGACTTAGGATTCGAAGTTTCAGTAAAGATGTTGTTTCTACTGGCTGCTCAGCCTTTCCTTGTTTTCCAGACTTACTACCACCTGCGTGTGCAGTAACCCACATATTTTCGCTGTTCCCTTGGGCTCCCGGTGGAACATGGGGTTTCAGCAGCACGTTGCCATTTCATCCTGTTTTCTGCAGTTGTCTTCAGCTGGCTCTACGATTACCCATAGACTCCCATCTACCCATCCCACGATCTTCTGCATGTCACCCCAGGACCCATGCCCAACTTGCAATTTCTCATTCTGGTTCCATTCCAGCGCTGGCCTGGTGCACGATGTCAATAAACGGTCTTTCCGGGATGTGTTTGATTCATCTCCATTTTATTTGGAATATTTGTTGAGCCAGCAACAAATTCTTGGTTGGATCATTATTAGGAGAGTCCCCTGTTGTGAATCCTTTCGGGCAGGACATCTTATGTTCATTGAAAAGCCAGCAAAAGCAACTGTTGATGGAAGTCTGCAGTGGCGCAAGCGCCAAGTTTCTGAGTCATATACAAGAACTGACTGGCTTGATATTGGTGTTTAAAATCCGAATCTTGTTGTTTGTGCTGTGGAGTGCATAAGATTTCCAAACCGTTTTCAGGTTGATGAAGGCGTATCTCGCCTTTCCCGTTCTGGCTGACTTTGACTTCTTTATCCGTTCCGCCTGTAGTTGAAACGACGCTTCCTGGATGCTGATTGGTGCTGGTTGTTTCGGTTCTTTGGTTATCTTCATCACGTTGAGTCTTGTCTTCACTGTCTGCCTCTTCAGCCAGGTGACTGGTTTTCGCCTGCAAGTCTTCGAGTTTCTGTGACACTCAAAATATATCATAGGCGAAATCAAGATCTTCTAGAGTCTTCTCACCGGCGGTCTACCGTATTCCTGTCTCCTCTCTCCCAACTCACAGTCTCACTCATAATCCAGTCTACCACAATCAAGAATATCATCGGTGATAATAGGCAGGCAGCCTTGTCTTACTCCTATATTCACTTCGAACTCCTCGCTGAGTTTTCTGTTGTGGATCACCTGACACGTGACAATGTCATATAGCCAGCTATTGAATAAGGTTGTTGAAACAGTTCCCGAACTGCGTCTTGGTCAACGCTGTCTGTCGTAAGCCTTTTCTAAGTCGATGACGTTGAGGTGGAGGTTTTACTGCCATTCTATGCTATGTTCTGTGATGACGATACGTAGGGTTGCAATTTGATCAGCACATGATTCGCTTTTCCTGAATACAGCTTGTTCCAGGCTAGGGGAGTTCTGTATCCAGTGCATTTTTTATTCTCTCCAGGTTGATGCGACTTAGTATTTAACTTGAAGTGGTCAAGAGCATGTTTCCACGCCAGTTCTAGCAGAGGCAAGCGTAAGTCGCTTTCTTTATCAGCTTGACAAGGCAACCAGACTTTCTTCCACTTGGTAAGCATCCTTTCTTCCTTCTAAACCTTTTGCAATAATGGCGTGGAACATCTGCCGCAGTCCCTGGGTCATTTTTCAGTACTTCGGGGAATTCCGTCTGGTTCTGCTGCCTTCCTCACTGGACTTCAGTAGATTGATTGTATTTAGGATTTCTGATTTCGTTGGAGGATTCGTGTCCACTGGCAGGCAGTTCTGTGTGTGATGCTAGTGGCATTTTCGAGTGAGTTACAGGTGATGGTCGATTAAAGAGTCCTTTAAAGTGATCAGCCCATTGTCTTATTTGTTCCTCCTCCTTGGTTATCAGATTCCCTCGAACATCTTTTATTGGTTTCATCATCTGGATTGATCCCCTCCCAGGATAGAGACCTGGTTATCTCATATAATGTCCTGAGGTCTCATTTACCTGCCACCAACCTTTTCTGCGTAGCTGGTGGCCAATGTGTCGTAAAATTGTCTTTTGTCTTTCCTAGCTCTCTTCTTCACTTCTTTATTCAGTGCAGTGTACACTGAACTCAGTTTCTCCTTCTGTTGCCCATCTTTGCACTGAGTCATCTTCTCTTTCACCATTCTCCTCTCTTTTATTATCTTCTAGGTATCCATTGAAAGCCATTCTTTATCTTGTCTCTTTTTTCTTCCTAGAACAGTTGTACGCGTTTCCTTAAATATCGCCTTCAGAGAGTTCCAATGTTATTCCACGCAGATTTCTTCAATGATAACACATAGTGTCTCTGAATTTGCTCTGATATGAACTGTAGTGAAGGTATCTCTTTTCTGAATGTTGAACTTGACTGACATCCACATATACTAGCACAAACAATGAAGATGCAATTTTACGTGTTCAGCTGTGAAGCCTGCTTCCTAGATATGACTACCAAACAACATTTACTGCCACACACTAACAAGACTAGTTCACTGAAACTAGTGAACTTAGGGGTATGCTTTAACATGACCATTTGTAGGAGAGTACAGTATTTTAAAATTAAAGATTAATATCAAGTTGTATTAACTGAATAGATGTGTTTGGTAATGTTATTAACCACTTGAAACTGTACTATAAAATCCCAAGATTTATTCATTTATTTTCGATACTTCTACCTACCAACAATGAAAACCCCAACTTCCATATTGTAGATTTTGATAGCAAAATTGACTCTTTCTCGACCTCTCTCTATCTCTTTCTTTCTTTCTTTCTTGATTTCTTACTCAAATCTAGAATGGATCATTTGCTGAACGTGTCTATAAGGTTATATTTGTTGGTGATTCAGGTGTTGGTAAATCAAGCATTATACGTAAATTTGTCTCTGGTGTATTTGATTTAAATCTTCCATTAACTGTGGCAATCGATTTTCATGTGAAATTTATGCATTGTGATGGGACTAACTTATACTTACAGCTATGGGATACAGCCGGTCAAGAGAAGTAAGTCAGGATTTTATTGGTGCGATTAAACTTGTATTCTACATCGCCTCATACACATAAATACACATACAGACAAGCCTGTGTCTTTTATTTCCAGATTTTCTTTGTTTCTACTCCAATTACAGTTAACAAGTGAAGGCAGATAATGACTAAGCTTCAGTTTTTATTCTATATAAAATACAGATAGCTGACTCATAAGCTACTTAAAATAGAGATACATTTATTTATATTTGTGTTAGTTGTCATTTTATGTCTGTTAAAGTGTATAAATATTATACTACCACTTTCTTATGCCTAGCCCTACAATATGGCTACTATAACTTCACTCCTATGCCATTTCACAATAATTTTAGTTAATATTAACCTCGATTTTTGCATTATATTAGGACAGGCTTAACTGATGTGATGTACACTGGAGAGACATGGCTTTTCCTCTAATGCTACAAGCATTTATATAACCTGCAGAGAGTCTGAATTCTGCTGATAGACATATGACCTTGAACCAGCTATCTACAATGATACTTGCTTAATGCAAGCAAGATAAGCAAAACCAGACAAGATTTTTAATAAACTGTGTCTTAGACTTTTGTCATTCTGTATAAATGAATTTAATAGTCTCTAATATATACCATATCATCACATGAATTGAAAATCGATTTGAACAAAGAGAATTCTTGTCATTAGATTTTCTTCAAACTCATAGAGTTACAAATTATTTTTTATCATAAAAATAATAATAATAACCAGGTATACGGTAGATACATTCTAATTTACTCTCTAAAAGCTCATATAATGTGGGTAAAAAGAAATGATAAGTTAGTTAAAGGTTAAATCAAATTTGCAATTTAGTGCACAATTTAGACCGAAATTATTCAGATCACACCATGTGATCTGCTAGCAAGCACAACAGGCTGATCTGAGCCATATACAACTACTCAGCTCAATCAGTCAGAAATATGTCATTTTATATAGTTCAAGGCTAGTACAAATATGGTGTGTATTATTAAATGGTTGAAGGCAATCGGCAGGAAGCCTTCCACCTAGGTTTCGTGCCAGTTGGCACTCATCAGCAAGGCTTATCTGCAACCTTGGAGGATCTGATGTCACTTCTGAGATTCAAACCTGCGTGTGCATTAACTATGAGACAGTAAAACTTCACTGACTGGTCCATCGTGAAATAATTATGTGAGATAAATGAAGTCATATATAATATGACTAATAATAAATGAGGATAGGCGTCGGTGGCACGGCGGTAGAATGCTCGCCATCCACGCATGTGCTCTGGGGTTTGATCCCCGGCTGACTCACTCCTTCACCTCGCTAAGCCGGTGATAAGACCGGTAAAGAGGGAAGGTTGGGCATGGGGCTAGCACCCAAACAAACACCGCTGCTATCGAAACTTCAGGCCTCTAGCTTGAAGCCCTATATATATATATATATATACATATATATATATATACATAATCGACAGTTTTATTCCAACAATGACCACAGTAGGAGCACAGAGTGCTGGCTTAGTGTTTCTTATTTTGTCAGCTTCAGTTATACGTCAGAAACATAGGCAGATTGTGTACGATAATATATCTTAGGATCGTGGTGCATAACCCTGAAGGTGACACTGGTGTTTGCATGTCAGACGAGTTCGGTAAACTTCAGCACTTAAAATCATTTATTCTGAACCAAAACCGTTTATGTTCTTTTATCATTATTTCAATTCATTTCACACTATTTTGTTGCAATTACATTCAATTCAAAATAAGTTTGTCATACAATCTGAAAGTGATCTGATTTCAAACCTAACGGTAATCATAATTGCGATCATTTTATTCCAAGCAATATTTTTTGGTATAGAATGGAATTTTCAGAGTTTCCTCATATTGCAACAATTTATCTCCTTTTACAAATAAATACATAAAATGGTAAACATGATGATATAACCGCAAAAGACTGAAAGTTGGTAGTATAATAATTGTTGCTACATAATTTTCTGTTTGTTTCAAGATTAAAAAACCAGGTTTATGAGCTCTTTTCTTCAATCAAAACCAGTGGTTAATATGTTAGTGTTGAATTTTTATATTTTGATGTACTGGCTTTACCCGAAGAGATGTAATGAGAAAGTTGTGAATAAAGAGGATGTCAAGTATCAAATATGATAGTTTTAGCTAAATGCTTGCAAGAGTTAAAATGTCTGTCAACAGTAATTTCAGGTAGTTGAGTCAAAGGCATTCCCCTAAACCTGCTTACGATCCTTAGTCTTCTACGTAATATAATGAAGTCTTTTTTAAGAAATCCAAGGAAGAATAAGGGTAACAATAAAGAAGAATGGATTGATCAGTTGTAAGAGAAAAGGTTGAGTTACAGCAGAAAGTCTCAGCTTCCTTGTACATTAAGTTAAACGAAAGATTTTCTTAAACATCAACAATATATAATATGACCAACAAAGATTGGAAGTGTAACTGACACGAAGATAAGTAAAAGTTGATTTATTTCCTATCACATTACTGACGCGACAAAATCAGTCCATGCAAATCTTGTTCACATCTAAAACTAAATTTAAAAGTCTGACACTTAGAGAGGTTCAGTTAAAGACAGTTTGAATAAAACCATTGGTTAATTTCACATAAGAAACTGTCTAATGCAAAAGTAGGTGGGATAGAAATTATCAGATCACCAGCATATTTAATGAAACTCGCCTTGAAGGAATACAATAAGTCGTGCAAAAAGAAAGGAAAAAAGAGATGGAGAAAGTACAGCATACTGAGGCATACTACCTTCCGCATGCAAAGAAGTGGAGCAGTTCCCATTAAAATTGGTGTGTTGTTTCTTCCCTAAGAAATAGCAAGACAACCTTCTTGTGTCCCAGAGCTCAGTACCATCTGAGCTTTAGGAATAGAGTCAAAAGCAGCAGTGTAGTCTAAAAAGGGAGACAGAATAAACTTTACAATCATATTCTAAGTTAAAATGTATCCACCTTGCACCTGGTTACTATTATATTGATAACAACAGATATTATATTTTATAACTATGGGAATCTGAAAAGAATTTCTCATAAAGCATATTCTTCGTTCAGGTCAACTGTTGGCTAATAAATTCATCTGAACAGAAGGTAAATAAAAAATAAGAGATGTATTGTTAGAGGTTTACGGTCAGTCATAGAGTTTTACAGTAGGCTTACAAACTGGTTGTTGGGTTGAGTAACCAATGTATGTGCTTGTTCCTAAGGTTATTGATCAAAATGTATCGATCAGGTAAGCAATGAGCTACATGACAGGATACTATTGCATACTTCTAATCTAGATTTTATGTGGGATCAGTCAAAAGACTGCACAACTTTTGACCTCATTTGTTGTGCTTTTTGATACTTATCTCTCAGTCTTAAGGAAGGAAGGAAGGAAGACTTCACATCGAAGTATGCGCTGAAGATGTTGCTCAGTAGAGCAATGAAAGCTTCGCAACCAAACCATCCAGCTCAGAGAACACAACCACACCAAAAGGCTACATTCCATTTGAGTTTCAAATCTACACTGCTGTAGTGATAGACTGATGCACATCATTCACCTTAACAGGAATTCACTTTACATATGAACAGCTTGTTGATGGGATTTTTAATCTCCTAAAGGTTATCACTTCTCTCACTTTTGAATATACTTCATACTGATGAATGTCAATAAGCTAAAATTCTAAATTTAACAGAGACTTTCTTACTAATGGTTGATAACTTTTAATGTTTGGTTAAAATGCATTACAATACCCAACAACAATGAATATATTGCTTACATGATCATTAATTACTCATCAATAACACTTAGGAACATAAAGTTATACTGGTTACCGTTAGTTAACTAATATGTGCAATTTGAAACTCTTAAACTCACAGATTTTCATTTCTTGTAATACATTTATTATTATTATTGTTCCCTTGGGTTCCTAGTGGAACATAGGGCTTCAACTGCATGCCTCCACTTGCTTCTGTCTTCTGCTGTACTTTTCACTTGCATCCATGTTAATCCATACTGTTTCAGCTCCTCTTCACACGATCTCCTCCATGTCACCCTTGGACGTCCCACTCGCCGCTTCCCTCTCGGGTTCCACTCGAGCACTGGCCTGACGCGCGATGTCACCCAACGGCCTCCTCAGCGAGTGTCCAATCCATCTCCACTTTCTCCTGCATATTTGTTGAGCGATTGGTTCTTGTTTAGTTTGTTCCCATAGCTTCTTGTTTGTGATTCTTTCCGGCCGGCCATCTGATCTTCAGTATAGAACGAAGACAGTTGTTGATAAAGGTCTGCAACAGGCTGTTGGAAATATTCTTTGTGACCCACCAAGTTTCTTATCCGTATAGAAGAACTGACTGACTTGACGTTTGTATTGAAAATCCGAATTTTGTTGTTGATGCTGAGTGACGAAGATTTCCAGATTGGTTTCAAGTTGATGAATGTGTTTCTCGCCTTCCCGATTCTCGATTTGACATCCTCGTCCGTTCCTCCTGTAATTGAGACAATGCTCCCTAGATAAGTGAATGAAGTAACCTCTTTCAAATCTCTCCCACTGATGTTGATTGGCGCTGGATGTTGCTGCTTCTGTTGTTGTTGCTGGTTGGTTGCTAGCACCACGTCCCAACCCTCCCTCTTTATCCGGGCTTGAGACCGGCTAGAAAACTAGCGAGCTAGTAATCTAGGCGACGTTCTTGTAATACATAGTCACTTTAATTTACTTATCTTTTTGACTATCCAGTATTACTGTGACTAATTAAATTCATTCACAACTAAACAGTGAGTTAGTTAGCCTACATTTATCAACCAGTCACTATGTAATTTCGAAGCCTGAAACACTTCTGCATTATAGTTATATGACAGAAATATATGTAACAATGAAACTGAGTTATTTTACTTCACCAAGTGATAGCCTAACAGTGATCCAGATTATGGATGGCTAGTAAGGAACCATCGCAGCTTCAAATATTCATTCAATTAATATAATATTTAATCAGTGTGGAAATG